CACTCATTAATTTTGAACACATTTTGTAAATCAAACACAAATCTAATTTAATACCAAATGTTATAAATTATATTTAAAATATGAATTAAAACTCTCTGTAAAAACAATGTGAATCCCAACACAATATGATATAAAATGTCGCTCATATCCAACACGTGCTCTCATTGATCATTAAATACCTGTTTAACCACTTTTATAACATTGATCATGCTCATATGAATTTTGTTAAACAATAATTAACATAAAAATTAAATTATTTATAAATAAAACACAACTCAAAACACAATCAAAAATTCTCAAATCTATTTATAGCTTACTGAACAATTTTATTACCATATTTGCTACTTTAATTTATGAATTATGTTAATTGTCTAAACATTCCAATTTAAATATGTATTAAAATTAGATAATTATTTAATAATAAATATTTATCATAGCACATTTTACAAATAATAATCCCTCCAAAAGCCATTGCAAGTGCTATGAAAGGGATTATCCAATACTCGGCTCGTATTCAATGGATTCAAGTCTTTCACAATAATTGAATTGTTAATTAAAATTGTTGCTAATTATCGCCGTTTGCTAAATAAAAACAAGATAAACACAAAAATTATTATTAATGATTAAGCTTAAAAATACACTATTTTGTAAAATTAGTTCACATCTGTATTATATGACAACTAAACCGGATGTCGTGATATCGGACATAGGGAATGGTATGCCAAACACAATATACTAATTTTGTATCACCAAAACAATTATTATTAGATTCTTATATTTAGATTTTTAATTAATAATGTAAATACCAGCATATAAGTACTTACATTTAAACAATTCTTAATAATATTTATCTACATAAAAGGGGTTTTTCAAATAATAATTGACATTTATGATTAAAAACACCTTCATCTCAAATTATGCCATATACAAATTTATATAAAACGGTAGTTTACCAGAATATACAATGTAACTTTAATTTGCGTACATTTTGCGTAAACCATTGAGAATTAAGTTATTATTGATTGATTTAAGTTGTATTATGTAATTTTCCATAATATATAACTAACTTGTAAGTTGCGTTGTTTTAAAGTGTATGATTGACACATTCAATAGCACTTATCCGTTACAATGAATGTCCTTGGTGGTACTGGTGATTGTTTTTATTGTTGAACATGTTAAACCAGTGTCCATTTCTTAGACTTTTAAATATTTACCAATAATTACCACAAAAATACCAGAATGTAAAATATAATACAAATACCACTTAATACTGTATAATAGGACTTAAAATAACGTTTAAAAATATAAATTATTATTTCTAAGAAAACACAAAACATCGATATAAAAGTGATAGACAACTGAATAGTCATAATGTTTTGTTTAATCACTTAATTTTGTGGTTAAAACTTATTTAGTATAATAAATATTTTAATATAAAAATAATTATATTTATTATAATATGTTAATTAACACACAATTTATATTAAATGTGTTACTAATCGCTAGCGTTATTAACTACGGGCAGAGCATCGATGTTAACACCACATCGGGTGTAGTGAGGGGTCAGACCCTACCGGTGCTCAACCGGAAAATACACGAGTTTTTAGGCATACCGTTTGCTGAGCCGCCAGTGGGCGCACTTCGGTTCGCCCGACCGGTGCCCATAAGTACACCACAAAAAGTACGTTTGTTGAAATAAATGATGTATTTTTCATTTAAACACTTAATACAAATTTATATTGTTTTTACACTGTTTTTAAGGCCACAATCGACGCGACGGTACCGAAGAACTCATGCATACAAATACCTCCCGAAGACGCCCACGAGTTGTGGGGAAATGTGACCACAAGTGAAGACTGTTTGGTATTAAACATATGGACACCACAGGCGGGAAACACCGGTACAACCAAACCGAAAGCGCCGGCACTAAAACCGGTGATGTTTTGGATATACGGCGGCGGACTCACTACTGGATCCATATTTTTTCACGACTTTAACGGCAGTGTTTTGGCCGCCAATGATGTCGTACTCGTGGCCCCGAACTATAGGTTAGGACCGTTTGGTTTCCTATACGGGGATCGGGAGGTATTTGTATGCATGAGTTCTTCGGTACCGTCGCGTCGATTGTGGCCTTA